CTCTCAAAAGAGAGAAACTTAAAAAAAAAAAGAATTTGTAAATCCAGTCATATCAGTTTCATATTTTAATGCCCCAGCAGCTCCCTGCTGACTGCTCCCAAGACACAGCCCTCTTTCAGGCACTCCCCTGTCCCCCTATTGCCCCACTGCTTACAGCCTGACTGCCTAAATTCGGATCTTGCCCCTGCCACTGGTCAGCAATCTGCAGCTCCATTTTCTTAAACCGGGTTAATCTCAGTAATCTGTGTCATAATGTGAAGATTAAACGATTTGATGCAAAACTCTGAGAAAAGTGCCTAGCACGTAGTACTGTAGAAGCCATGCTTATTGTTGTTACCACTCTCCTTCTTTCTCCCAGACTGCGGTGGTTTTCTGTACCTCCCTGCCTTTGTACAAAGTGCCATTGCACGGATTGTCACTACCCCGTGATTTAATTCTTGGGCTGCTTCTCACCATTTCCTGTCTTTGTCATTAACAAATTCTAAAGTCATCACCCTGATTGGATGGTAAACTCTGAGATTAGGGATTTCACCACAAATTCTTTTTTTTGTTTTATTTTTGGACCCCTCCCTCCTCCTCAGAATTTAAGTACAGTGCATATTGCAGACACTCAAACATTTGTTTATTGACTGAAGGGGAAATCCCTTTGTCTCCAAATCTGTCTTTGTGAAGTTCTTTTTTTTTTTTTTTTTAATTTTTTTTTTCAACGTTTTTTATTTATTTTTGGGACAGAGAGAGACAGAGCATGAACGGGGGGAGGGGCAGAGAGAGAGGGAGACACAGAATTGGAAACAGGCTCCAGGCTCCGAGCCATCAGCCCAGAGCCTGACGCGGGGCTCGAACTCCCGGACCGCGAGATCGTGACCTGGCTGAAGTCGGACGCTTAACCGACTGCGCCACCCAGGCGCCCCTGTGAAGTTCTTTTAATCACCATTCTTTCCTTTTTTTCTCTCCACGGTGCTATTAGCGTGTTAACATTTTTAAAAAATGTTTTATTTATTTCTGAGAGAGACAGACAGAGCGTGAGTGGGGGAGGAGTAGAGAGAGAGGGAGACCTAGAATCTGAAGCAGGCCCCAGGCCCTGAGCTGTCAGCACAGAGCCCAATGCGGGGCTTGAACTCTCAAACCGTGAGATCATGACCTGAGCCAAAGTCGGATGCTTGACCCACTGAGCCACCCAGGGTACCCCCGCGTGCTTATGATTTAAATGCTTGCTTACCACCAAATCTTCCCATAGTTTTCATCAAGGTGAGACTTAATTGTAACAGAACTGTTGGCACGTTCTTTTTTATATTTGGGAAGGACAGTACAGTTGTGGGCCATACAGCTCCATGACTGAATTTCTTATAGCAGTGAGGGAGTATGTCTTTTAAGGCAATATGTTTCTGAATGTAAACAAGTTCTCTCACTGTGATTTGTATTTGGTGGTGTAAATTTAACTCTGATTACTAGTGCAAGTACTTGGACTTTTGGGCCATCTTGCTTCCAAGGAGTGTTTTCTGCCGATTTCAGGTTTCTCCCTTTGGTTTCACCTCCATTCCAAACTGTCCCACTTCAGAGCGCTCAGACTCAGAAATTGCCGTCAGGCTCATAACTTCCATCCCTCCTCCTTCCTTGCTCCCTCCCTTGTTCCCACTTCCGCATGCACCGGATCCCCTGTCTTCTCCCAGTTCTCCAACCTCCACGTGCACATGGTCTCAACCCTGTTCAACCTTTGCAGCCACCTTTTGACTTTATCAGCTTTTCTGCTCTGTTTCCCCTGCTTCCCATCCCCCATGCCATGTTATCTTTTTGTCCCATCTCCCTGTTCCCAGCCCTGGAATTCCAGGCCACTTGGGTCCATTATAATCCACGTATTGGGGTTCAGCTGGGCTCCCGGAGCTTGAAGGTCTTTATGCTTTTGTTGACTCTGTCTCCCTTGTTACCACGTATTTGCAGCCATCCCCACTTAGGGTGTCCTGCACCCCCTCCTTACGACAGAGCCCAAGGTAGACTTCTTCACTCTCTGGAGGTATTCTTACTCGCCCAAGGAGATTGAGGGGGTGCCTCCTCAGCTTCTGGCTTCTTCTGGCTCTATCTCCGTTTTGTTGCTGTTATTGTTGTCTTTATCTTCCTCTCTGACTTCTGACATGCCTATCTCTGAGGCTGACCTCCTGAGATTGTGTTGATGAAACTGGCTTTTTAAGCCAGTTTCTTAACGTGATGAACGTGGGTTGTAGTTCTTGTTTTTTTGTTTGTTTTCGTGTCTGTTCATTGTGGATACAAGTGGTTTTGAAATGAGCATCTTTGGACAGCTGTATTGCCCACTTGTACGACTACAGGCAGCCCAGGTTTGCAGGACTCTGGCATGCTCAGTTTCGGTCACCACAGTTTAATTAAATAACACCCGTCCCCAAACAACATGGTTCAAATTTCAGTTCCAAGATTTATTAGCTGGGGGGAGTTGCCTAGAGTGCAGCCTTTGCTGCTAGCTTTTTCAGTCCACAGATCACTGCGTACACAACACATGCGTATGGTGGTCAGTGACCGATGTGGCTCCTTTTAAAGCCTGTCAGTGATTGGTTACTGTCTGCTTCTGTTGCTCAGCAGCTCACAGACAGCAGGGCAAGTGGTGGGTTGCTTCTGTGTCTCCTGGTGGTGAACGTACGTGACAGTTTATAAAATGGATAATTGAAAGAGAGAATTGGCCGATAAAGATGCAAAGTAAGTAAAGTGATAATGCCAGAAGTGAAATTCAGTTCAAAAGTAAATGGGGTTATGGAAGGAAAAGCAAGCTGCGGGAATGTTCACACTGCCTCTGTTCAGTGGCCTCCACCTCTGCGGCCAGAGGAACTCGGGGATGGCGAGGTTATCCCCCTGGTGAGGAGTGTGGTTGTGATGAAAAGGATGCAGATGTCCCAGAGGAAATGACACTGGCACAAGAATTCATATTAATCGAACTCCTGCAGAACATGATATTGAAAGTGCAAAGGTTACAACGTGGGGAACTGATCTAAGCTTGTGAAGGAATGTGGCGGTCTGTGAAGGCACGGAAAAGTTTCTCACTATGGAGTGTAAGTAATGTGACGAGAAGAAGAGAAAGACTGTTCAGACTATTCTTGGTAAGTTTATTACTAAGAAAACTTTAAGCCTCCATGTTTTAAATTACAGTGTAGGAAATACAGATGAGGTGTGCAATTTTTTCATTTCCTTGTATGTTTATAATTGACCGTAAGAGTTCTTAATGTTTTTGATAGAAACGTAAAAATTGCCTCTCATGGAGCGCCTGGGTGGCTCAGGTGGTTAAGCCTCTGACTCTTGATATCGGCTCAGATCATGATCTCACAGTTCCTGAGTTTGAGCCCCATGTCCGGCTCTGTGCTGACAGTGCAGGGCCTGCTTGGGATTCTCTCTCTCTCTCTCTCTCTCTCTCTGCCCCCGCCCCCACTTGCACTCTTGCTCTCTCTCAAAATAAATAAGCATTAATTTTTTTTTAAATTACCTTTCATATGTTTATGTTAGTTTATACCTCAAAAGGTTTAGGAGAATCCCTTAGGGTCCTGGTACTTTGTTCCACTTGTCATTATTTGCATATTTGTTCAAGCTTTTCCTCGGATGACTCTCTATTTGAATGGACGTGTGTACGCTTAGGTTTTTTCGTTTCCTTAAAAAAAGGTTTCGCCTACACCCAGTTGTGTTTGAGACCCACTGCTCTCTTGCTTTCCCTTCCCTTACCCCATTTTCTTCTGCAATAAGTTAGACCTGCTGATTCACTTTACTTACGGTTTACTTTCTCTTTAGTTTTTACAGTCACTTGACATTAGGCACCTTGAGGACAAAGGTCGTGTCTGTTTTTTTACTGAGTATTCAGTACCCAAGCCTGGGGACTGGTATATATGGTCAGTACTTGATATGTTTTATTTGAGGGAGGGAGTTCCTAAAAGCCTGCACCCAACACCCACCCTGCCCCATTCACCCATTTCTCTTGTGGAGCCTTCTCTGATCTCCCTCTCCCCAACCACCCCAACCTTTCTCCTTCTTTAAACAACTATGTAACTGCAGGTGCCTCCTAGAGCCTGCCAAATATGAGCCATTTATGCTGTTATTTTTACCCTTGCCCACACAAATAGCAGCTCCCTGAGGTATGTCTTTCCTGTGCATAACATAGTCATTACACATAGTTGGTACCGAATGCGTATTTTGTTGGATTTTCCTGCAAAGTGAGATTCCAGAGAGCTGTCAAGGAAACTCCATCCCACTAAAACAATTAAGGGTTGTTCTATGAATCTACGTATTCCACCCCCCCCCCCCTTTCTTTTCTAATTCTCAAACAAAAATTCTGTCTGGTGTATGTACTTATTTTAAAATCAAAGGCCACAAGAGTGGGGAATTGAGAAAGTGGCAAAATGTTAGAACTGGAAAGATTTTTAGAGATGCATATAGTCTCACCCTTTAATTTTATAGGTGAATCATTTGATGTCTGGAACACTTAAGTGATCTTCCCCAAATCACATGACTAGTTTGTGGTAACATTTGGGGCCACAGTGCAGTTGCCTAACCCTGTCCAGTGCCCGTTCCCATAGGCTGCCATGGGGCATACGAGAATATTGTTCAGGTTTGTGTAGTTGACCTGTTCAGAGATGCAGCTAATATTCTCATATTGCGTTTTGTGGATTAGCAAGTAGGAAATTGAATCTGTAAATTGATTTTCCTCTCTCCATCCCTTAATTATTTCAAGTTCTCTGACTAGATTCATTTGCATTAACTGGGAAATTCTGGAAACATTCGTCCTGGATGGCACAGATTTGTTTGCTGACATCTAAGCAAACTTTTTCTTGAAGTATAACATACATGCAGAAAAGTGCACAAAGCGTAGGCGTGGGGTTTGAATTTTCCCAAAGCACGCACATCCACGTGACCTGTACCCACAGCAGGAGACAGAGCGGCCCCAGCACGTTGAGAAACATTTGAAGAACTAGAAGGGTTTTGAAGCTATATAATTTTCTTTTTTCTCCCCGCAGGTATTGTCAGTCTGTGTGTTAACAACAATCCTTGGTTGTATATTTGGGCTGAAACCAAGCTGTGCCAAAGAAGGTAATTACTACAGTATAAATACTGTGTGTGTGTGTGTGCACACATGGGTGTGTGTGGCTACTTAGTCCTCTTCAGAATGTGACTGAGAAAAGTGTCCTGTCCTAATCTGTGGGTACTCCATAGTTATTGGCAGATGTGATAATGGTTTGAGTCTTCTTAAAACTCTTTTATTATTTTAGCCATGTAATGTTTTATTTACTTGTAAAACTTCATCCTAAAACAATGAAGAGGGGCTATCACCAAAAAATCAACCAAAGAACAAACCCCCAAAACAACAAAAAATAAATTAAGAGCAGTGAAACATACAAGCCAACATGGCCTAAATGTTTTGGTGCTGCACCCTGGAGCCCTTCTCCCTGGACTCTCTCCAGGAACTCTGAGGACACTCTTTTTTTTTTTTTTTCCCCAAGGAGTTAGTTGCTGAAACAGCCTGGAAAGATTACTTGGTAACCAGTTAGCATCGCTGGGCAACCAGAAATTTATCGTTATGCGCCCTACAGCTTTTAAAATTACGAGCATTTGTGGTTTCAAAGCTATAGTGAAATGACAGTTTTAAGCTTCTACATATTTTTTTTCTTTATATTGAGTGCAGAAATCTATCCAGCATTGATGAGATTACCGTAACTAACAAAACTCTGAATCATAGTACATTGCAGTAGTCCTTATTTTGGCTCTGAGGTAGGTTTCTCCCCCATGTGAAATCACTGATGGTCTTCCTAGGGAATTCAGGTTTTTAAAATTTTTTTAATGTTTTAATTTCTTTTTGAGCCAGAGAGAGACAAAGCATGAGCAGGGGAGGAGCAGAGAGAGGGGGAGACACAGAATCTGAAGTGGGCTCCAGGCTCTGAGCTGCCAACACAGAGCCTGATGCGAGGCTCGAACTCACGGAGTGTGAGATCATGACCTGAGCTGAAGTTGGATGCTCAACCAACTGAGCCAGCCAGGCGCCCTGGGAATTCAGTTTTGAAAATTGAAAAATTATTTTCCTGTTCAACTCTTCTGTGATTGTAATATTGGTCATTTAAACAAGTGTACTGATTTTTAAGTTTTCACTTATTGCTTAAATTAAATGTAGTAATTAAATGTAGTATAATTTCATGTGTTTGGTCAGCCGTCTATCCAGAGCAAAAGTGTCTTAAGTTTAACAAGATGAAATAGCTACAGACTTTAATGTTCATCTAGGCATAGGTATGAAGTAGTTTAGTTTGAGTTTAAACTTTGAGTTTAGTTTAACACATAAAAATAAAACTGAAGGTTTAAAAAAAGTAATTTTAATCTAAACCTAACATAGTATGCGCAGTATTTTACAAACTACTAGGTGCTTAATAATGAGCCTCAAGTAGTAGCTATTATTCTAACTAACAGCTTTCCCTGGCCCTGCCCAGGTCAGGAATGTTAGTATTCCTGACCTTAGAAATTACTGTTGTCATTTCATGTCTTTAAAATTGCCAATTTTCCCAGTGTCATGAGGGCTAAATTCTATGGCAGTGTCTTCTTGGGTAAGGAGATCCCTAAAGTCAGGAGCTAGGATTCTTCTTTTTTTTTTTTTTTTTTTTTCTGTTGGACTTTCATTATTTTACAAGTGGGTTTGTTTTTTGTTTTCCTCACCATCCTGATGTTTTAGTAATCTGATGAGAACCTAGCTTTTTCCAGGTATATAGTAAATACAACATAAAATTATTGTATTTAATTAAAAGTTTTCCTTCCATATCTGCCATTTATCCATTTAACAAAAACTTACTGGTCCCAGCTATAGTCAAGCATCTTGCTGGGCGCTAGGGATGCGGTGTGCTGGGTACAATGCAGGTGTGGACTTTGCTCTCAAGAAGTTGGTAGTCCAGGGATGATGCCTGAATGGCTCAGTTGGTTAAGCGTCTGACTCTTGATTTAAGCTTAGGTCATGATCTCACAGTTTGTGGGTTTGAGCCCCACATCTGGCTCTGTGCTGACAGTGCTGAGCCTGCTTGGGGTTCTCTCTCTCTCTCTCTCTCTCTCTCTCTCTCTCTCTGCCCTAACCCTGCTTGCACTCTCTCTCTCTGTAAATGAATGAATGAATGAATGAATGAATGGAAGTTGGTAGTTCAGTGTGAGACTGGGATATTAACCAAATATTCTAGTTCAAATGGAATTAGTGACTGAGGGGAAGGACAAGGTTTTACAAAAGCTTAAACAAAGGAAATTGGACCTTGACTGGGGAGTGTAGGAACCAGATCTGAAGGTGAAATGCGTACTTTAGGTGATGGTGGGAGGGACAGTCCTGCAGAATGTCCTGCATAAGCACATTACTTCTTTGATACACCCAGAGTGAGAGTACGGTGGGGCAGGTATTCTTTCTCCTCCTGAAATATTCAGATAATCACTTTTAAAGTCTTTTCTCACAGTTTGGAATTTTAGAGAATGTTATATAAGCATAAAACTTTCAGAACAAGTCCTTATTCAGAGGGGTGCCTGGGTGGCTCAGTCTGTTAAGCGTCTGACTCGATTTCTGCTCAGGTCATGATCTCATGATTCCTGAGTTCGAGACGTGCATTAAACTCTGTGCTGACAATGTGGAGCCTGCTTGGGATTCTCTCTCTCCCTCTCTCTGCTCGCTCTCTCGCTCTCTCTGTCTCTCAAAATAAATAAATAAACTTAAAAAAAAAAATAAAAAGAACAAGTCCTTATTCTGACTTTTCTTTACCATGCCATAAGTATTGAAGTCTTATCAGACCCGGTAAGGTTCATAATAAATTTTAAAACTTCTTTTTTCCCCCCTATGACAAGAGATAGAATTTTCTTTTTGGGTCACTTTCTATGTGTATTTGTGAAAAGATTCTTGGGTAACTTCATTACCCCATCTGTATTTTCTAAGGTAGGATTTGAATCTAACTTATGTATACTAGTTGATGTTTGCTTCTTGATTCTGTGATTAGAAACTTCTAACTCATTATTTGGTATTTTCAGTTAAAAGTTGCAAAGGTCGCTGCTTCGAGAGAACATTTGGAAACTGCCGCTGTGATGTTGCTTGTGTTGACCTTGGAAACTGCTGTCTGGATTACCAGGAGACGTGTATAGAACCAGGTAAATAAAAATACGCAGGGGAAAAGATGATGTCATGGGCACTAGTCAAAGATCAAAAAAAAAAAAAAGTTCTGCATTTTTTAGAAATGTGATTTATTGAACTCACTTGAGGCTTTTTTTAAAAAATTGGCCTTTGCATTTCCTTAGAGAAGAAATTTCATGTATTTTGCCTTTGTTAAACACTTTATGGATAGCAAAACTGTGCTTGTGTTTAACGTATGCCGAGAGCCTACGTAATCGAACTTGCACTTACACTTCAAAAAGTCTTCTTGAAACATACGAGTACTTTCAGTGTGGGCTCGCTAAAGCAAGAGTTCTTAGACATCCACTTCTTTTTACTGAAGTGTAGCTGACACAGAATGTCACGTTCGTTCCAGGTGTACTTAGAAACCTGCTTAACACTTTGAAATAAAACCGTCAGAATGTGTATATTTTCTGTTCCATTCAGGTTTGTCTACATAGGACATGTTTCCTATTTAAATGGGAGTAAGCCAGTTTCAGATTAAATGTTGAGAACCCTGAAAATGGCTGGTGGAGAAAGCCAAGATCTGTATGTGAATTGTATAATAACCATGTTTGCCCATGTTTTCAAATGATGAAATTCTGTTTTCTTTAGTGAAACAATAACAGCTGTTGCTTGCATGCTTTCTGTCTGTTAGTTCAGGTCGACCCCTGTGGTGGCAGATTCTGTGAGTAACTGAGTTATGAAATAGTTCGTTGTCCCTCCTGGATCGTGCTCCAGAAGAGAACAGTTCTGTGTCTACTTCGGATGTGTTCAATTGGGACCATAACACGTCTTTTGTTGTTATTTGTTTCTAGAACACATATGGACTTGCAGCAAGTTCAGGTGTGGTGAGAAAAGATTGCTCAGAAGCCTTTGCTCCTGTTCGGATGACTGCAGGGACAAGGGTGACTGCTGTGTCAACTATAGCTCTGTGTGCCGAGGTCAGGTTCCCATGCACCCATCGGGCTCTGCAGCAGCCCGACATCCTTCTAGGTGTTAGCTGGGTTTTGCACAGGTGTCATTTTTTACATTAGGAGTCATATTTGTTGACCAACTGTCTTAGCTGAAAAAATACTTAAAAAACATCTTATTAGAGTAAAATTCAAATAAAGAAAGTATGTAATGAATCTCGTACTCATCAGTCGTTTAAGAATCACTATTTACACATGGCAAATCTTGTTCTGTCTATAGTAGTTCACTCTCCTGCTGCCACCCCTTCATGTTATTTTGATATTAGCTACATTTAAAAAATTTTTTTTTATTTTTAAAACAAAATTTTTTTAATGTTTATGTATTTTTGAGACAGAGACAGACAGAGCATGAATGGGGGAAGGTCAGAGAGAGAGGGAGACACAGAATCGAAGCAGGCTCCAGGCTCTGAGTTGTCAGCACAGAGCCTGATGCGGGGCTCGAACCCACAGACCGCGAGATCGTGACCTGAGCTGAAGTCGGACGCTCAACCGACTGAGCCACCCAGGCGCCCCGATATTAGCTACGTTTTTAATGCTGCTTTGTGGAAAGATCACTTTTTGTAGTCCTGGCTATCTTTACGTTCCAGGTTCCCTCGTAATGTAAATGAGAGCAATGTATGCCATGTGTTGAAGGAGTAGATGTGAAATTACTGCCCAAAGTTATATAGGGTATTATGTAAACTGATGCTATTGTGAGGTTTCATCCAGTTGCAGGGTTCTTTGAAACTGATAAGAGGAACTAAGACATCAAGGATTTAATACTAGAAGATGTTAGTGGATAAAAGGAGGGTTGTAAATGTTGGCTGAAAATATGAACAACTTGAAAATGGAAGAGATGCCTTTAAGTTCTCACAAATGCAGTCACATGTTTGAGTCTTGCATTTAGTTTTCTGTTCATTGTTTTTCTTCCTGATATCAACTGGCAGTTATTTTGAAACACAATAACTTACTGTATTTATTGTATTTCCCTAGAACCATGACCCATATTACGTATATATGTGTTAACATGTTTTGTTTTTGGAATCTGTCCTAAGATGTCTCACAGCATCACAGTTATTGTCACTATTCAATATGTTCACTTTGTTTTATTTCTTGAAAATATTTTAGGCGAGAAGAGTTGGGTAGAAGAAACATGTGAGAACATTAATGAGCCAAAGTGTCCAGCAGGGTAAGATGATATTCTGAGATACTATTTTGTTAAGGTACTATTTTTTTTTCTCTTTCCAAATTGAAAAGATAAAAGTAATAATTAGTCATTGGTTCATTAAATGTTATTTTTAGTCAGGCCCTGTGGTGGGCACTTGTGGCATACCGTTGATTATGGAATGTTCCCCACTCTGGAAGCTAATGGAAAAAAGAGAGGCCACGACTATTTAGTCTTTAGTATTCATGAGGGTCGCTGGAAGTGTGTTGTCTTTCTCCTTAAGAAGAAAGGCCCTTTACTTAGTTTTGAGAATCAAACCTGTAGCAAGTTACTTTACAGCTTCCTTTTTATTTTTTATATTTTGGTTCACTTATAAATTCGGGGGATAAGCAATGTGTCTGTGAGAGAATGTTGCATAAGTTTTATAATTCATCTTTGTTCTTTTTGTCCTTAAAGTATTTTGCCCAGTACCTTGTGTATACTAGGCCATCAAAAAATCTTGTGTGGAATTCAAAGGGGGAGATTTTGTGAAGATGTAACGTAAATTTTCTTTGCTCCACTTGAGATCTACTATTTCATATAATTTGACTTATTCATCTTCAGAAACATATTTTTACCTTTTTAAAGTAATGAGTTTTTTCCCAAACTATTCAACATTTTAAAGCTGTACGTTAGCTTATTTTGTTTGTGTATATAATTTAGTTTTGCTTTATAAGATGGGCGTTTTTTTTTCTTTTGGATGAAACAGTACTTTTTTTTTGTTTTGTTTAAAAGAACAGTAATAGCAGCAGCAAAAACTAAACCCAAACCAAAAAATTCCAACAGAAGAGACTTTTTTCAAAGGGTGCGCTCCTGTGCCTTGAGCTGTCTTTTAAGTTCAAGATATCTTGGAAAATTTAGACTTAGTGAATTTTTAATCTTTCTTTTCCTTCTACATATTGATCATTACTTTTCAGTTGTAATGTTGATCCTTGTAGTGGATATGTAACTCTTCCTTTCTTTACAATAAGATCATAAGTCAGAACATGTGTTATTCTACTGGAAGTTATACCAGTTTATTTACCTGATGGCACAATAAACTGTTTATGTTTTATGTTGATTGAATACAAATAATTTTATACAGTGATGGACCATTGAGACCCTAGGCATTGGTTCTGGAATCTTCCAACTGAGCTATGATGCAAATACTAGTTAGTGGAAATCACATACCAATATATATATTTTTTTCTTCTTTTGTGTTTGCATGTGAGAGTAAGCTGAGGAGGAGGTAGAATTGAAAAAGGCAAGAAGAGTTTAGCATTTGCTCTCAAATTTTAAATTACTGAGTAAGCTTTAAGTGGAAAGTTTTTTAATAGTTATCCTGCAGTGTTCAACTCCCAACTCCCTACAGTCTCCCAATTATCATTAGAAGTTCAAAATTTCTGAACCATGCCCATTTGGGTTTGGCCATGTAACAGTTTTCCATAGTTATTCACTTTGACTGAGCACATCATTGTACGTGGGTTTTTTTTTTTTTTTTTTTTTTGCCTCCTTTGGATTAGTGCACCACATACATCGTGTGTGTGTGTGTGTGTGTGTGTGTGTGTGCACATGCATGCACACGCACATGCCCTCATTGTTCATTTCTAGCTTTGGATCATTTGTTGTTTATTTATTTAAATGTAGTAAATACATCTCAAACTTCTCAACTAAATAGTAACATCTTTCAAATACAGTAAACTTAAAAACCAAATGTTATGGGGGCGCCTGGGTGGCTCAGTCGGTTGAGCGTCTGACTTCGGCTCAGGTCGTGATTTCGCTGTCTGTGAGTTTGAGCCCCGCATCGGGCTCTGTGCCGACAGCTCAGAGCCTGCAGCCTGTTTCAGATTCTGTGTCTCCCTCTCTCTCTGACCCTCCCCTGTTCATGCTCTGTCTCTCTCTGTCTCAAAAAAAAAAAAAAAAAAGGAATAAACGTTAGAAAAAAAAATTAAAAAACCACAAATATTATGTATAATTTTTGTGATATGGGGTACCATCTATTAGATTCATGTAGACAATATCAAAAGGTGGTTGTTCAGGAAAAATCTTAATGGAAATAAAAACATAATTTAGAAAATGCTGTTGCTAACATTTATTCTCCTGGAGATTGGGAAAATATTATTACATTTTAGTAGCATTTGGTCCAGCTTTTGGAATAGCAGGAACCATGAATGATGTTCTCCATATGGTGGCTCAAAATGGTGTAAATGCTTGAAATACTATTAGACGATATATGTGTATATATATATGTGTGTGTGTGTGTGTGTGTGTGTGTGTGTGTGTGTGTGTGACATATATATATATAGTGAAATATAAAAGCATATATATGAATATAAATGTAATATCTCCTTTATAAGAATGCTTGTTGAACTTGTTAATTTACTTTAGATTACATACTGACCTCAGTGAAAAATTTTCATTTTTCATTTTTCCCTGTGCCAGGGAAAAATCTTCATTGGATGTGTATCCTCCTTCTGCTTCTTTAAACATTGTTTTTCTTCTTTCTCATTACCCAGGTTTGAAGCACCTCCTACCCTCTTATTTTCTTTGGATGGCTTTAGGGCAGAATATTTACACACTTGGGGTGGCCTTCTTCCTGTTATTAGCAGACTAAGTAAGTAACTTCGGAGTTCACTGTTGAGGTGTCACAGTTTCAGTGAGATAGACTAGGGAGGCAGTCTTTTTTTGGAAAAATACTGGCAGAATGTGTTTTACCAAACCTCTCTATGGCAAAGTAGTTGAACCTGATGATAAGGAACTAGTCTTCAATATTGTAATTACTTTGAAGCTGCCTTTTAAATACTTCTAAGATAATAGTTATACACACACACACACACACACACACACACGTGCGTACAGCATGTGTATATATACAGTTGTATATAAATATATACACACGCATATAAATCTGTATGTATTAGAATTTTGGATTCCTTTTGTGGAAAAATCATTTAATAATTATTACATCTTAAAATAGAATTTCAAAAACTGAAGGTATTTCTGATATGCTTCTAGTACTGTAGACATTGAATATTTGCTAGTTATCCTATAATACCATGTAGCATCCTTCCAATTTCTTTGCTTCACTCAAGGCCTTAATTGTATGATTATTCTGAAATCAGAATTGATTACAATGATGCAATAGTAGAATAGTTTGCAATTATTGATGCAATAGTAGAATAGTCTTTTCTTAATATTAATGCCAGAGTTTTAAATCACATTAACCCCCAGTTATATGGGTATTACTTGTATCATCGTTACTGAAAAAGGAAAAAAAAATAGTTTATGGGTATAAAAATTAGAGAACTTTGCTCATTATCAGTGATCAATAATTAAGTAGTTCCAGTGGAACGCTAAACTGAAATGGAAGTAAATACAACTATGTTGGAGTTCTGAATTGTAAAATATTATTTATTAGGCTTGAGTGTATGAGATTAGTGTAAACATTAAAATCACTCTCAGTAAATACATGTGCACATTTATTATACTTCTTTTATGACAAACCAAAATAATTTGGGAGTATCTTTTTAAAATTTCAGTTTTTCTAAATGTTTATTTATTTTGAGAGAGAGAGAGAGAGAGAGAGAGAGAGGGAGAGAAAGGAGAGTGTGAGCAGGGGAGGGGCAGAGAGAGAGGGAGACACAGAATCTGAAGCAGGCTCCAGGCTCTGAGCTGTCAGCACAGAGCCTGATGTGGGGCTCGAACTCATGGACTGCGAGATCATGACCTGAGCCAAAGTGGGATGCTTAACTGACTGAGCCACCCAGGTGCCCAAAATTTCAGTTTTTAATTTCTACCTAAAAGAAAATCGTTTTTGTAAATAATTATTTGACTTGGAAAAAAAAAAAAAAGTCTTTAGCAAAAAGCATGCAAGAGCAGGGAAGGCTTTATTCTTACCTGTTAGGCCCGTGATGGGCTTTGAAGCTTGAATCTGGCCCTTTGTTGCCATTAAAAGGAAAGTTTGTTTCAATGGCACCAAACATTGCATCCTGAGTTCAGAATTAAATAGCTGTAGCTACCTGTATGTGACGTTTAAAAGAAATCAGTACACCATTTGCCTAAGCCCCAGCTTTGGATAATTGAGGAACATACTCTGTAATTCTGCACTGTTTGGAAGGCATTGAGATAGACACATGCCAACCTGAGGGGCATTTTTTTGGCAATGACTTATTGAGATGCTAGAATCATTAGGTTTATGTTTTTTTTTGTTGTTGTTGTTTTTTTTTTAATAGCAGAGGCGGGAGAAAAGGAGTGTGACACCAGGGCTAAATCTGGAACAGTCTGACTTCTGTGCCTTTCTCTAACTTGAAGCCAGAGATGGCTTTTTGTCTTTAGAGCAGTGTTGAGTATGTCCAGAGTGAGCTGATTCTGGATTTTCAGACTGAGACACTGCCACCCCAGCTACTGCTTCACCGTTGTTTTAATTTTGCAGATTTTGCTACTCGTGCAGTTTGTTTTTTCTCTCCTTTATTTTCTAATCAGTGATTCATCACTTACATATGACACCCAGTGCTCATGCCAACAAGTGCCCTCCCTTCATGTCCATCACCCATTTAGCCCATCCCTTCACCCAACACCCCTCCAACAACCCTCAGTTTGTTCTCTGTATTTAAGAGTTTCTTATGGTTTGCCTCCCTCTCTGTTTTTATTTTATTTTTCCTTCTCTTCCCCTGTGGGCATCTGTTGAGTTTCTCAAATTCCACAGATGAGTGAAATCATAGGATGCAGTTTGCTTTTTTTAAATTATCTCTTGTAATTTAGGTATGTGACCACCAAATAATATCAGACAAAGATCTAGTAGGCATCATTATTACAAATGGTCTACCCGGAACTTAATGTTTTTGATAAGTATGGGATAATTATTTCATAGACTTAATTATTTTGTTTAATATTTATCTGAGGAAAACTAACTTGAACACTGAATTTGAATCTGCAGTGTTGCTTTATAATTAACCCTAAATTTTCATATGGTTGTAAATCCCTCCTGGGTTAGTTTTTTTTAATACTATTTAGACTTACTTCGTACCAAAGCTAGATGAATTAAACAGATTATTGATTGCATTTAACAACAATCTTTGATTTTTTTTCCCTTATAGAAAACTGTGGAACATATACCAGAAACATGAGACCAGTATATCCAACAAAAACTTTTCCCAATCACTACAGCATTGTCACTGTAAGCTCCACATTTCAATTTTTATATGTTCACAGAAGTGAGATGTAAATGTTACATTTTTCGAGGGAATAATTAGACATCAGATCAGAAAAGAATAACTTTTTTCCAAAATGCAGTTAAGCAAGGAAACCTAGGTTTTGGTCTTTGCCTCTGCCACCAACTAGGTGTAGTTCGGGGAGGATCCCTTTCATTCTGGTCTCAATTTTTCCATCTTGAAAAGAGGTGACTGAAGACTCTAAGAACTGAGTTCTTGGTTTCCTTTCAGCTTTAAGATTCTCCAATTTTTGTGTCTTGTTTCTTCTTATGGTTTTGTAGCTTGCTTTGTTGGTACAAATCTGTCCTACACTCATGGATTCTCAACCTGTTCCAGTCATCTTGATGTATGAATTTAAGCAAGCCACTTTGCCTGACTCTAGATAGGATTACAGCCCTGTTTTTGTTTCAAAGTTTGCCAATTTAATTGGAGTCCAAGAGAAAAGTCAAATTCATTAGGTGTTAGGGTTCAAGCCAGAAAATGAATTCTTTAGCTTGTATTAATGCAAGCTCTTCTCAGACTGAACCAAAACATAGTTTGTTCTACAGAAATTCCTTACTCAGCAATGCAATGGGGAAATAGGGCACTTTTTTAGAAATTGAGGAAGCTGCCTATTAATATAGGCCCTTATCCATAGCATTCCTACTTACTTTCTCCTGTTAAATAAAGTACAAATACCATATAAAATCTTGAGTGGTTGGTTGTATTTTAAAAATCCCAAAGTTTTGTTCTTTCCTCCTTAACTCTGCCGAGTTCCCTGTAGCTTCAGTTACATGTTTCTCTTTGATGATTTTGTTTTGTGATTTTATTTAACATGAAAACAAAAAATACCTCACAACTTGCATAAAACCTGTTTTTATATTTTTTAGGGACTTTATCCAGAATCCCATGGCATAATTGACAATAAAATATATGATCCCAAGATGAATGCTTACTTTGCACTTAAAAGTAAAGAGAAATTTAATCCTGAGTGGTACAAAGGAGAACCAGTGAGTTGTTTGTTTGTTTTGGCTACTAAGATTTTTTTTTTTTTAATTCTCTTCTATTTCAATCAGAGTAAACTACCAGATTTCTCTGGAGCTTTTAATAACCTACTTCATTTATTGTGTCGTGGCCATCCTTTTGTAAATGGAGACAGATGCTGATCATCCTGAACACAGCTTGTATCATTGCGTAATGAGAGTAGTTTATTTCATAACTGGGTTTGGGTAATTCTGAACCATTTTTCTTTTCTGCTTCATTCCACCTTCTATACACCAGGAGTGTATAGAAGTCGTCAGGGCCATCTTTTGATCCACATGACACTAATGGTTTCTGAAGGAGGTAAACTTTGACTTCATTTGCATTGGCTAACACAAAGATTCTTTCTGGCCATGACTTAGATGTGTTTCTTTGTATTTTTCAGAAATGTCCACAAAAATCCCATGGGGTCTTTTTAGATAGTCTTGATATTCTTCTTAGAAGGAAAAAGAGCATGATGGGTAATTTACAGGGTATAAATTCAAATTTTAGTGCTGACACTTAAAGCTATGTGACTTTGGGCAAATTATTCTTTCTCTGCCTCCATTTTCTCATGTTTATACTGTAGATAATACTGTTAACCTTACGGGGTTATTGTGAGGATTATCTAAATTAATAATTGGGATGCTTAGGGGGATGCTGTTTAGAACTGAAATTGGCAATAAGTGCTTAATAAATGTTAGTTACATAACAAAAATGTCAGCAAATTAAGCACATGTATATTTGGGGTTTTTTTCTTCTTTCCAGGGGAAACCCCATTAAGTAGGGGTGTGGCTCTGAAAGTTGCAGAGATTTCTGAAAACGGACTGTCTGTATTTTTTAGGTTAATTTAAGTTCTAATTATTTCATTTTGCTGCTGTTCAGAGTCATATTAAGTGATTATTTTATAGTCTCGCTGCTGGAGCTCCTTAACCTCAAACATCGTCTAGCACTTGAGGGAAACACACTGATGTTACATGAGTGTATACTTTGCTAAGAAGTGAACAGTTGTGTAATTTTCTGACTTGCCTTCATTCTCTTCCCCAGATTTGGATCACTGCTAAATATCAAGGCCTGAAAAGTGGTACATTTTTCTGGCCAGGATCAGACGTGGAAATTAATGGAATTTTCCCAGACACCTATAAAATATATAATAGGTAGGTATAGATGCACTTTTTCAGAATTGCTCATTTATTTATTTTTTAAACTCAGCTTCTCCTTTTTATCAAGTTCTAAGTTCTAGCATTTGCATAGTGCGTTAGCTGAAAAATGAGAATGGCCAGAATAAGAACTCTATCTCAGATGGCTTTTAGGTGGAGGGTAGGTGAGTTTTGAAGGGATGGATGGACAGTGAAACTAGACAAAGTTTTTTCTGGAGGTTGTCTAGAAAGCGCTGGTTACGTGTTACAGTTTGCATTCAGATCTTTGGGCAGGAATAAAAAATGAAGTCATAGTGACGGACTCCAACTTTTTAAGAGTCATGAGCAAATGAGTTCTCCATCAGGTACCTTTTGTGAAATGTATGGTGGACGCATGGGTTATTCACGTGGTAGCAATTGCTATTCTCAGATACAGGCATAATATCATCAGGTAGATGTCAGAAGCACATTTTTAAACCTAGTTGCAGCTTTCATTGGGATGTTTATGGGGACACCATTTAGAACTGTAATTGGCAATAAATGCTTAATAAATATTAGTTACATAACAAAAATGTCAGCAAATTAAACACTTGCCTTCATCCTCTTCCCCAGATCGAAGCTTCCCCAATGTGAACCTTAACTTTTGGTCCTTTATTGGGAAAACAAGTTAGAGTTTTCAAATAAAACTTTTACATTGTTTCAAACACAATTAATGCATGTAATTGCTTTAGTCTTTCAGTGTGCTTGTCAATAAGAAACACACTGATATTTTAAGCTCAAACAATGTCACAGACTATTTAATTTTGTTTATCCTTAATTTTAGTTCAGTACCATTTGAAGAAAGGATTTTAGCTGTTCTTAAGTGGTTGCAGCTTCCTAAAGATGAAAGGTATGTAGACGACTAATTTGTATGGTAACTACTCCTTTGTTTTATAGATATCACAGAATATTTAAAAATAAGCAGCAAGAAAACTTTGCAGTTGGCTCTCGCATTTTATATCCAAATAAACTCTTTAGGGAGCTCTTATGGCTACCATTTTGAAGAACTCCAAATCTGCAAATTATTTCTCAGAAAGATTAGAAATGTTACCCCAGTGTTGTAGACTTTTTAATCACTATCAATTGTTAAATTATTCTTTCCATTCTGTTTTACAATGTGTTTATAAAATATTACATTTTGATGCTGTTTGATTTAGACCACACTTTTACACTCTGTATTTAGAAGAACCAGATTCTTCAGGTCATTCATATGGACCAGTCAGCAGTGAGGTAAGTACCTTTTTATCAGTGATTACTTCATGAAACCTGGTGTCATGTAACTAAACCTGCTTTGAAGCAGGTTTCTAGACCATTCTAGCAAGATTCCATGATTCTGGGAAGAGTAGTAAGCACAATTTTAACTAAACCAAAGGATGCACTCTAGTAAAAATAACAGTAGTCTTGTCTATACTTTCCACAGTGCTCAGTTGAACTGATGGTAAATTAAATTCCATATTCTCATTTCCAAAGTCTTTATCCACTACATTTATCCCTACATTGGCTTAAAAACTAAGGGTCTTTGGAAGTTTTGTAAATGGGTAAGACTCCAATTTTTTTTTTCTTTCTTTTTTTTTTTTAAATCTTGACTTATTTTATTCTGTGTTTGAGAAACAAGAGTGTGGATAGCAAAGGTTCAGGTAGCCAGGGTTCTGGCCTGTCCATAGACTGGTTTCTTTTTTTTTCTTTTTTTTTTTTAGTTCTTGTTTTGATGTTTATTTGTTTATTTATTTATTTATTTTTTTTTGAGAGAGAGAGGCAGAGTACGAACAAGGGAGGGGGGCAGAGAGAGGGAGACACTGAATCCGAAGCAGGCTCCACGCTCTGAGCCGTCAGCACAGAGCCCAACGTGGGGCTTGAACTCACGAACTGTGAGATCATGACCTGAGCCGAAGTTGGACGCTTAACTGACTGAGCCACCCAGGCACCCCTAAGTTTTGTTTTTTTTCTTCTTAATTCAAGTTAGTTAACATACAGTGTAGTCTTGGCTTCAGAGGTAGAATCCAGTGATTCCTCTCTTACATATGGCATCCAGTGCTCAATTTTCTATGTAAATAGAGGAGAATTAGTCAAATAACACAAGAAGCCTACTATGATCTCTCCACCTTAGGAGATCTAGCTCTGACCTCTGAGATCATGCTTACAACAGAGCTTGGGCATTAAAGAATAGGAGATTTTGTCAACACTACAGAAAATTTCAAATAACCATGGTTTTATTGAACAGTTACTAGGAAGTTAGAGATGGGGAAATGGCTCATGTACTAAGGCTGTCAACATGAGATCTTACTTGACCTGACACCCTTTTAGGAACTTAGCCCAACCCTGGCTAGGTTTGTAATCGGTATAGTGCTTTGAAAGGTCAAATACTGCTTTCAGTTTTTGTGCGGCCATAGAATTTTTATATCTTGGAGCAGAGGAAGCATTGGAACAGAAAACGATTTGAGCTTCTTTCCTTGTACTTCTAAGCTGACTTCCCTTATGCCGTATATTTTATCTGTGACCCAAGATCTGAAAAGAAACAGGGAGTAGGGATCTAGGAATATTGGTGGTCATGGTGAAAGGAAGAAGAGGTATAGCCAGGGTCCCTAATCTCAGAATCCTTGTTATCTCTTCCCCCATATGACTGTAGGAGATAAAAGACTAGGAATAGCTAGAATTTCACCCTAGTCTGCGTAGTTTGTGAGCCTCAAAGTCTCTTTAGCACAGAGTCCAGACCAGAGCCTATCCTAACATGTCTATTAGCTCCTAACATCTCCAGCAGCTCTAATGTAGTTAGTAATTCCGTGTGCCCTTGCTTTGCTCTTTAGAGGTGGGGTAAGGAACACACATGGTCAATAAGGTGACTGGGTCATAATTGGTGACAGGGAAAAGTTTTGTGTCGGTGTTATCTTGGTTTGACAATTGACCAGATGCTAGTGTAATTTTTATTCTTTCACTAAATTCACTGACACAACTCATGTCTAGGTCAGTCTGGCTACAAGGAAGTCTGAGGATCATTTTGTAATTGTTTGGTTATCAGCTCATATAAATTATGAAATCGGTGCTGCCTTTTCTAATTTCACTGAAGATTTTCCAAAGGACTATTTTTGTGATTCATCTTCATTCAAGATTGAGCCCCTTGCTTTTTGTATCATAGTCACCAGCTTGTAAATTCTGTTAAATTCTAATATTACTGGCACATCAAAACCCACTTGATTTTAATACTTAAAAACTCCAACTTGCATTACTTGGGTGGCTTTGAATGAAAGATCATATTGAAGGAGGTTGTTTCATTATTACAGTGGAATAAATTGACTGTAGAGATAAGACTGATTTGATACATTACAGAAAGCACATGTAGAGCTGCAAAGAATTTTCCTGGTTTTGAAAGGAGAGCCAAAAAGAGAAATGTCAAAAGCAAGTTACTAAAACTATTTGCTAGTCTGTCCTCGTGATAGATGTGTGCAAAATACATGCAGTTTGCAAGGAAATAATGGGTTCCTAGGAGTTCTAATTTAAAACATTTTTGTCAATGTTTATTTATTTTTGAGAGAGAGAGACACACACAGAGTGTGAGTGGGGATGGGCAGAGAGAGGGAGACACAGAATTGGAAGCAGGCTCCAAGCTCTGAGCTGTCAACACAGAGCCCAATATGGGGCTCGAACCTATGAACTGTGAGATCATGACCTGAGCCAAAGTTGGAGGCTTAACTGACTGAGCCACCCAGGCACACCCTAGGAGTTCTAGTTTTAAAAATCAAACATAATGAACTATAAAGCATTTCATGAGTAATTTTAACATTTTTGGCAATTTAGACGATCAGGTCGGCTAGTGACATTTCCAGTACTTAGGATTGAGCATGTACGGGATTTGGGCCCTTCTTTTTATTAATGGGCATTGTCTTACCTGGCTTGTCTTAGCCTAATGCAAATCATATGTAGTTCATCATAGCAGCTGCATCCACTGAACTTTTCCTTTATGAACAGAGATAGCTTTACATAGAAATAGCCGTTAATATGGAATCCATCACATGACATTGCTTCCCTTTCTTAGGTCATCAGAGCTTTGCAGAGGGTTGACAACATGGTTGGCATGCTGATGGACGGTCTAAAGGAGCTGAACTTGCATCAGTGCCTGAACCTCATCCTTCTTTCAGATCATGGTAACCTGAATTTTCATCATTTACCCTTCAGGTTAAATGGTGCCCCAAAAAAGGGTTCCTTGACTGGTTATTGTTTCATTATTTATTTTGATTGTTACAGTTAATTCTTTGTTGTTGTTTTTTTTTTTAATGTAGTTTGTTGTGGAAAATGTTTAGGAAAAAATTATATAAAATATAAAGTACAAGTAAAGCACAGAATTCACAGCTATCAATGATAATGCACCCATTTCCTGATTTGAGGAAGGTTTGTACCAGGAATTTTGAAAAATTAAAAAAAGTTTTTTATTGTTTAATTTTGGTAAATGTAGTGTAATAATTTTAGATTTAATGAATACATTATTATGTACCTCTTCTATTTAGCATAAAAATCTGATTTTAGGAGCAGTATGTATTAATTTTAGCACTATGTTAATTTCACTTTTTACTTATTTGGCCTTTAGAACATGTTTGTGTAACAGCCTTGAGAGTGCAGAAGCAATGAATGTACAAGAAAAAACACGCCCTTTTCGTTTGTTTTTTTTTCTTGTTGTTATTGTTTGTGTCAGAAATAATTGCTAAAAGCTATTTCTAGAAATAGCTGTAAGAAGTTTTGTTCCAAAGAAAATGCAGTTCTGGAATGAGACTGAGAATTTTATAATACCAGTTACTATTCTAGGTGGTCTTATGAAAACAACACAGCTTTGCTATTTGGTCTGAAGCTGTGATATTCCTCCTCACCTACCTAAATTAGAAGAAACAACAAAGTAATTGTGGATGAAGGGGAAAAGATTTTTTTTTAAGTGAAATGGTGGATACAGCTGAAGTTCTGTGTCTTACCTACTAGATGTTTAACTCACATGAGCACTGAGCACATATTTATTGAATTAAATTCTGGGAGTGAAGGAAATTCTCTTCCATGTGTGAAATTCTTTATTGAAGTTGTAACATGTTTGGGAATTTTTTTCTCCTAGGCATGGAACAAGGCAGTTGCAAGAAATATGTGTATCTGAATAAATATTTGGGAGACGTTAAAAATATTAAAATTGTATATGGACCTGCCGCTCGCTTGAGACCCTCTGATGTCCCGGATAAGTACTTTTCATGTAAGTATATATGGACGCTAACTTTGAATGTGATTACATTCTGAATACATTCCTCTAAATTTTTGTATCTCCACACTAAAGTGCATCAAGTTAATTTCCTTTGCATGATTAAATCTCCAATGCAGGTCTTCTGCACCCAAAGGGATTTTATTCAAGACATAGATCTAACCACTTATTTTTGTTTTTCGTTTCTAAGCATATTATGTGTGTGTGCTCAGTACATTTTTATGTCGTAGTGTGTGTTTTACTTGTATTGGGTTCGAGATTACTTGTACTAAAAATAAAAACAAAAACAAAAAACAAAACAAAACTTAAAAGTTCATCTGCATTTATTCAAGTTTCATTAATGACATTCCATTAAAATAACTTAGAGCTGTTATAAAATAATATTCTGTCACAAGGAGGAATGCAGGAAATTCTGTAATTCTTATAATTCCATAAACAGCTGGTTTCTGTCCTCAGAAATGACTTTCTTTTACCATTCTAAAACACAGTGAGAATGTGTTTTGTAAACAGAGAAGAAGAAATTTCAATTCTGTGTTGACCATATGTGCAACCCAAATTGCCAAGGAAATTTTTTAAATGTTAATTCTTTTGCAAGTCAAGTGCATTTCCTAACTGTTTGCACCTCTGTTGTAGCCTGCTTAAAAGTCATATACAATTGTTATAAAACCTGTTATAAAACCATATAGGCGGAGGCAGTGCCCAGAGATGTTTAGGATGGGATGACTAAGCTTTAGCTTTCTCTCATTAGGCCTCTGTTTCCCAAATTAAGGCAAAAATATCTATATTTATTTACCAATATACATACATGAAATATATATACACAACATTTATTGTATCTGAAATTTTTTTTCAAACTTTTATAAAGTATGGCTAGAAGAATCTTTGGAAATCTAGACATATATTGATTTGTAGCACAGAAGACGCTAAGTAAATCTGTGTGGTCTTGCTATGCAAATTCAGTTACAAAACTATCTACTTGCTCTCTCTTCTACGTTCTCCAGTGTCCTTTTTATTTGGAAATTCTGGAGTTACCAAATATCAAAATATATAAAATAAAAAGTAACGGTTTCCTTAAATCTCCCTAATTCACACCTCATTTCCTCTCTCTAGAGATTAAAGACTGTTAGGCTTGGAATGTCTTCCCAGATATCTGCTACGCGTATATAAAACACTATTTTTTTTTTAATTTTTACACATGAAATCATACTAGATCTAGATGCATGGTCATATTTATGGATGGCCAGGTGAATGGACACACATATGGATGAACAGATGGATGGATAGATAGATACTCTTTAACTTGTTTCTTCATTTAACAGTACGACATGATTTCACAGGCATGGGGTGGTTCCTAAAGATCTGTCTCATTCCTACCAATCACTAATATATAATGGTTTAAATAAGCTGTTTGGAACCTGCTTTGAGTTTGAGTCTGACATTCAACATTTTTGTTTTATTTTTATTTCTAATTGTAGCATAACATCTATGATTAATTCTTATCTTTGTCCCCCTTCAGTTGATTATGAAGACCTTGCCAGAAATCTTTCCGTGAGTGTATTTATTTTTCCATTATTTACTTATTGTTAGTTTTAATATATATTTAGAAAAAAGTTCAGTATCTGTTCTTGGGATGTTTTAGCATTAGAATTTTTGAGCTATGTGGGCCAACATTTAAACACCCTATAGTTTTTAAAGATTTAAAAAAAAAATTTTTTTTTTCAACGTTTATTTATTTTTGGGACAGAGAGAGACAGAGCATGAACGGGGGAGGGGCAGAGAGAGAGGGAGACACAGAATCGGAAACAGGCTCCAGGCTCTGAGCCATCAGCCCAGAGCCTGGTGCGGGGCTCGAACTCACGGACCGCGAGATCGTGACCTGGCTGAAGTCGGACGCTTAACCGACTGCGCCACCCAGGCGCCCCTAAAGATTTTTAAGGACACACCCCAATAAACCAGCATTGAAAGTTTTTAAGAATTCATTTATTGTCATCAATTAATTTTTATAACAGTAAAGAAATAATTGGAAAAAATAGAAGGGAAAAAGTCTATAGCTATCTCAACATAGGTACTGTTGGCATTGTTATATATTTCCTGCCAATCCTTTTATGCCCATTTAAAAAATAAATTCTTGACTTGGTGATGAGTTATCTATAGTACTTTTTTTTACTTGATATGTTTTATTTATTTATTTATTAAAGTTTATTTATTTGTTTTGAGAGAGAGAGAGCACACAAGCAGTGGAGGGACAGAGAGAGGGAGAGAGAGAATCCCAAGCAGTCTCTGCACAGTGTGAATGGGGCTCCAGCTCACAAAACTGTGAGATCATGACCTGAGCCGAAACCAAGAGTCAGACACTTAACTGACTGAGCCACCCAGGGGCCCCGAAGTGTTTTAAATATTGAAGAAAATGATTACCATTGCAGTTATAAGAATGTTTGGAAATGGTATCATCGATAATAACCCAAATATTAATGAATGGCATAGTCTAAGAATTTTAGTTTTTTTTTTATGTAGCAATTATGATTTCCTGTGAAAAATACGAATATTGAATCGTTGGGAATAGAGGGACTCCGTTATTTTTGCATCTGTGACTTACTGAGCAGACTGGTAAAATTTTTAACAGAAAAAAAATCTTACGGAATTAGAATACAGTCTCAAGAGAAGTTTACACCTAAGAAAATATCGAAATAAGAGTTTTTCTTTACCTTCTGTAATATCAGTGCCGGGAGCCAAACCAGCACTTCAAACCTTACCTCAAGCATTTCTTACCGAAGCGTTTGCACTTTGCCAAAAACGACAGGATTGAGCCCTTGACATTCTATTTGGATCCTCAGTGGCAACTTGCATTGTAAGTTCTGATGGTTTCCAGGTAAACCTCACCTGATATGTTAGTCATTCAGTGTAACCATTGGGCCCTTTTCAACAGTGTTGTTGTATGAAAACTGTGCACAGATGATTCTCTTCACTCTGTCCTGGGGCTTCTCAACCCGGGATTGACCTTTTGGGGTCAGACCATTGTTGTGGAGCGCTGTCCTGTGCATTGTGGGATGTTTGAAAGCATCCCTGGCTTCTACCCATTAGATGAAAAAGCACCCTTTCCATAGTTGAGCCAACCAAAAATGTCTGCAGACATTGCTATAGGTTCCCTGGGGAGGGCCATCCACCCCCAGCTGGGAGCCACCCCTCTGCCCACATCCATATTGATTATTTATGTTCCACATTGGTGTTACCACTTGCTCTTATCTCTTCTGCACATTACAGTTATCCTAATAATACCTTCAGATCCAGCGAATAATTGGTAAAACCTCTTTACGATAATGAGCGATTGCTTTCTTCATTTTACAAAGTTGTTTTTTCAGCTCAGTTTATTGATGTGTTGGAGAATTATTTGGATGGTTAATATTGTTAATATCTCAAAGCCTGATAATTAACTCTTTGGATGGTTGCCGGGAAGCCAGGGGCAATAAATACCCCTGTCAAACAAAACCTAAGCAATGAACCAGGATTCACTTTAAGAGTTTCACTGTCTCTACTTTTACTAGAGGGCTGTGCTTTTCGTGTTTGGAAGAAAAACATTGAAAGAAGGGATGGTCCTTGCCTTCATGGGAGAACCAATATTTTACGAGCATCTATATTCCAAAGATTGCTTTAGGCTAAGCCATTTAATTTGTACAGACCACCCAATACAACAAGACTGAAACGAAGATAAGATAACTACATGGCCAGTGTCACAGCTAGCAAATAGCATAGTCAGGGTTCAAAACTAGTTTTGTGTCAGTGCTAGTGGCTTTTTTCCTCTATGCCATCCTGCATTTATGGTTGATTTGTCTGCAAAATAAAAGATAAGGGTGGCCTCTTACTGCTTTGCAAAGCCAGGTGGTTTTGTTTACCATTTTTTGGTTTGTTTAACAAAATAGTTACTTATTCTTGATTAACAGAAATAATGTGACTTTAAATTTTGCACTATGAATAGACTTCACATCATTAATTCATACTATGTCAAAATTAGGAATCCTGCAGAAAGGAAGCATTGTGGAATTGGATTCCATGGTTCTGACAATATATTTTCAAATATGCAAGTAAGTAAATCTGATATACTTAAAAAAATAGTAGTTTGTATCTGAAGAAAAACTAATATACAAAGTTTAGATTTATTTATTTATTTATTTATTTAAATATGAAATTTATTGTCACATTGGTTTCCATACAACACCCAGTGCTCGGTCGAAGAGGACGACCTTCCCTGATAGAGGAGGACCGTTCTTTGGTCAAGAGTATACGAGTAGCTGCGCTCCCCTGCTAGAACCTCCAAACAAGCTCTCAAAGTTTAGATTTAGAAACACGGATTGTGCTTACATGTCTTGGATGAGAATTAATGAATCATATGATTGCATATAGTCATTTTATTTTGAGCATGGTATTAATAGAATTTGTTAAAATATTCATGTTTCAGGCACGTATGACGTATTAAAGGACTTATACCTCATACTAAATTTCTAATAATCATTTTGCATATGTTTGTGTTCCGTTAAGAATATTGCTTTCACAGTAAATGAAAGCTGGTGATTTAAGAGGAGAAAAGATATCATACTTGTTCTAAATGAAGGTAATGCCTTACATTCATCTAGCAATTTAAAAGTTCAAAATATACGCACAACAGTTATTTAATTTGATCCCTACAGCACTGTGTAGGGTGGGCAGAGTGACATTTATATCCCATTTCACAGATGAGAAACAATTTCATCATCTGTTCTCTTCTGACTGTCAAGTCAGGAATCACAGTAAAGCTGAGAGAAGTATCCTACATGTCCTTAGATTACATGTGCAACAGGGGTTAACACCATATCCTATGAAGCCTGTGGGCACGGTATTTTTCTGATATCTTAACATAACCAGTTTATATATGTACAATATGGATAATATAAAATAATTTTTTTCACCAGCTGCATACATAGGTGATATGAACTGATAAACTGTTAACTTTTCTGGCCAATCTAGGCTCTCTTTATCGGCTATGGACCTGGCTTCAAGCACAGCATCGAAGTTGACTCTTTTGAAAGTATTGAAGTCTATAATTTAATGTGTGGTAAGTGTGAACAGGCTTCTTTCATTTCTTCTGAAAACAGAGCTGGAATAGGATTATGAAAAGTAAGTCACACGGTGGGCATCTCTGTAGAGATGATGATGATGTGAGACAGATCACATTTTTACCTTTCACCTTCCTGACCCAGAGTCATTGAAAAAAATATGTGGATCATTGCCATCTGATTACTGTGTCTCTTCCACGGGTTTGCACACAGGTAAACTGCAACACCCAGAGCTGTGAGGTCTGTACATCCCCAGTGCCTAGCAGTTTGCCAGGCCTTCGGCTTAATGATACGACAATTGACTCAGGCGTCAGGTGGAAGCCCGGGAAAGAGTTTGGAGTCTGTGAAGGGAACGCAAAAGAGGCAGAACCTCTGGTAGCAATAATAGTTCAATGGGTGACAATGTCACAGTTGTAGAAATGGAGGAGGACCCATTAGATATGTTATTGACTTACTCTGTACTTTTCTTAATTAATACCTTTATGGTTGGATATTATGTTTTAAGTATTACTTCCTTTTTCTGATAATGATGCTAGACATTTGCAAAACCTTAAATATGTCCTGAGTATGATTCTTTCAGTGGGGGCCTATATACTCAAATGAATTAATATATCGTAAAGCACTTAAAACAGTGCCAGGCATATCCTAAGTGCTTTACTGTTTAAGTGTTTGCTATTGTTATTATCAAGAGCATGAGTTTTATTTTATTTTATTTAAAAAAAATTTTTTTTAATGTTTATTTATTTTTGAGACAGAGAGAGACAGAGCATGAACGGGGGAGGGGCAGAGAGAGAGGGAGACACAGAATCGGAAGCAGGCTCCAGGCTCTGAGCCATCAGCCCAGAGCCCGACGCGGGGCTCGAACTCACGGACCGCGAGATTGTGACCTGAGCTGAAGTCGGACGCTCACGGACCGACTGAGCCACCCAGGCGCCCCAAGAGCAGGAGTTTTAGACTCAGACAAAGCTGGTTTTGAAGCGTAGGTCTTACTACATTAGTCGCTTTGAGGCCTTGAGCAAAGCACTGGGATTATTCATCTACCAAATGTTGACAATAACTTATTAAATTGTTTTGAGGATTAATTAAGAAAAATATATTGGCACAGTGATTGACATTAGTATGCAATGGTGGTAACTATAGTTATTATACACTTTAAACTTCAGAAGTTTCATTAGAGACGTACAGCAGAATATCAGTAATTCCATTAAGAATAGCATAGTCATGTGCTTGCTTCGGCAGCATATATACTAAAAAAAAACAATAGCATAGTCCTAAATGCTCTCAAATTCAAGAGAGTTTTATAGTTTTATTTTAGGTAGAGAGTAAAGAAGTCTTCCATACATTTAGTTCTAAAAAGATAAAAATAGTGTAAGTCTACCATTTATTTGATTTTGAAACCTCGAGGTAACCATTTACCATTCTTGGCATTATGCAGATTTACTGAATTTGTCACCTGCTCCTAATAATGGAACTCACGGAAGTCTTAACCACCTTCTAAAGAATCCTGTTTACACCCCAACGCATCCCAAAGAAGCCCACCCCCTGGCACAGTGCCCCTTCACGAGAACGCCCAGACATAACCTTGACTGTTCATGTGATCCCTCTGTAAGTATTGACAAAAAGTGTAGCCCAGTTTGTGTGATTTTACAGCACCCTCTGCATAGCATGTGCTATAGAAACACTTCAGGATCAAATTAAAATGTATAAGTGAGCATAAATACATATTTATGTTTAATTCCAAGTAAGCACGCACGTGCAGCCCTTTTATTATTTATTTTTCCTCTTCCTGGTTTTTGCATTTTCACATACTTTTTAATTTTTATTTATTTATTTTTGAGAGAGAGAGAAAGTATAGGCGGGGGAGGGCAGAGAGGAAGGGAGATGGAGAATCCGAAGCAGGCTCCACACTGTCAATGCACAGCCTGTCATAGGGCTCAAACCCATGAACCATGAGATGTGACCTGAGCTGAAGTCGGATGCTTAACTTTGCCCAGGCAGCCCTCACTTCTGTTTTTATCCCTTGGTGCTGTGACTTGACTTGGGTTCAGGTTGGGAGAAGTCCAGCTAAGTTCTGGAGCATCCTGAATCATGGAATCTGTGCTACTGTCCTAGCAGTGAGGTCTTGATTATAAACCAGTCACAGTATTCTTTTCCTAAAATATATCTCAGTTTATTTTAAAGTATTTTTTAATGTGTATTTATTTTGAGAGAGAGAGAGTGAACAGGGGAAGGGAAAGAGAGAGTCCCAAGCAGGCCCTGCACTGACAATGCAGGGCTCAATCTAGGAACCTATGAGATTATGACTTGAACCAAAATCAAGAGTGCAATGTTTGACTGAGCCACCCAGGCACCCCTCAGTTCATGTTAAATTTAGAGGCAAAACAACATTTTTTGGCAAGAAATGGATATATGGCACTTTACTTTTTAAGTTTATTTATTTTGAGAGAGACAGAAACAGTGCAAATGGGGGAGGCGCAGAGAGAGAGAAAGAATCCCAAGCAAGCTTCAAGTTGTTAATGCAGAGCCTGATGCAGGGCTCGGTCTCATGAACCATGAGATCATGACCTGAGCCAAAACCAAGAGTCAGACGCTTAATGGACTGAGCCACTCAGGCACCCCGGCACTGTTTTCTTTTTACTCCTATCTTAATATATAGTTTTAAGAAGATAAAAATTTGTGATAACAAGTGAACAAAATTGATAGTGTCCATGAAGATAGAGATTTGGGGAACAGTTGATTTTATGCCTTCCATTTTGTTTTAGGCTCGTAGAAAGACTATCAGAGTAGGGATAAAAATTATAAAACAGCAATTCTTATTTTTCATTGATGGTGTTGTGCTTATGTAACAATTTTGTCTTCTTGCAGCTGTCATCCGAATTTTTATCTTCTTCATCAAAAAAAATAACTTTCACTTGTACAAGATGGTTTTATCATTGTCCCACGATGGAACAATGAGGCTGTAGAAATTGTTATAAAATTAAAACACATCTCAAAACAAAAAAAAAAAAAACAAACCATGTCTCTCATCGCTTAAAATAGTATTATTAACTTTTAGGTTTTGCCAGTTGTGGATTTTGAGATACAGTTGAATTTGACTGTGGCAGAAGGTAAGGAAGGCATCCTTACTCTTGAGCTCGGAATGTGGAAACAGGCTTTTTCTCAACAGTGTCAACCACAGAGAGCTGGTCTGGGGACATTAGCTGAGAATAGCCAGTAACATAAAGGTAGTAGGGGAGGACCACCTGATGAAACATGGCAATGTCCTTGCTCAGCAGTCTAGACTGCTAGTCATAAGGAAGGAAGGGATAGTTACAGCACATCATGCATTTAGTGGAAGCTGAATAACTCTTTATGAACAGAGTTGAGGTGGTTTGGGATTTTGGAGATTTTTATAAGTTTATAAGAGACCCTCAGATTTCCATTGAAAATACTGTTAAATTTCTATCTCACCTGGTTCTTAGTTAATTACAGGAGAGTATAAGTTGATTGATTTGTCTAAAGTTATTCCTTCATAAATTTTTTTTTTTTTTTTTTTTTTGAGAGAGAGTGTAAGCTGGGAGAGGCAGAGAAAGAGAATGAGAATCTTAATTAGGCTCCATGCTGGGCATAGACTTTGGGGCTCCATGCAGGGTTAGATCCCATGACCCTAAGATCGTGACCTGAGCCAAAATCAAGAGTCAGACACTTAACTGACTAAGCCATCCCAGTGCCCCTATTCATAACTTTTGAGTGAAAATTAAGCATATTTAATACACAGACAACTGAGAACATTTGTCAGCTGGGACTTGGATGCTCAGTGTCACTTTGATATGATCTCTGATACACTTTGATGTAGTCTCTGATCCTTAAGTTACTTGGCTCAGTTTTTTCCTTCTGGAATAAAAAGGTGAAGTCTACATTATTCCCAAATTGAATTTGCCTATATAAAATCTCTGTACATGTTTAGAGAAATCTTTGATGGCCCATGGTGACAAAGCATAGTGAAAGATGACACTTTTGGAATTGAGTAGATCTGTGTTTGAATATGAGCTTAGGAACTGTATGTCCATTGGAAAAGTATTTACTCCCTGTAAACTGCTGTATTCTCATCTGTACAATGGACATATAACCTTAATTCATAGGACTATTTAAGAATTCAATTAGACGATATCTACAAAGGACTCTACAAAGCACTTGACGCTTGGAAAAAGCGCAGTAAACAGTATATATACTATCACTGTTTCATTCAGCTTTATCTCATAATTTCAGTTCTGAATTTTTGTTTTCCAAGCACATACATCATCCTCAAATTTTTCTTTCTGGAGATTTGCTCTAAAGAATAAGTCATTAAAGTAATGTTAAAGAATTTTAGTAATATTATTTAAGACCTATTTGCTGAAATTTCTAGCAATTTCACAGTGTCCCCTTGTGAGATCTTGATATTACACTTATCTCTCAGAATCTTCATAGGCAAAAACTGTGGTGAATCCCTTTTATTTTCTAAATAATTTATGGTTCTGCTCTTTGTAATTAGTTTGTGTTTTTTTTTTGTAGTAAAAAATAATTTTTCAATAGGGTCTTAAGAAGAGGAAAGAATTAGATGAATGTTATTATATATTATCATATAGTTCACAGTAAGTTTGTTTGAACGGTGGTTTCATTTTTCCCCTATGACCCAAGAGAAGGTTGTTAAGCGTGGCACTGTACCCTATGGAAGACCCAGAGTTCTCCAGAGGGACAGCACAGTTTGCCTTCTTTACCAGCACCGGTTTTTGAGTGCTTACAGCCATGACATCCTGATGCCCCTTTGGACATCCTACACTGTCGACAGAAATGCAAGTATTGGTCACCCCTCTAGCTACGTGCGATTATTTCATTAATTATCATTAAGCAGAACATTGAAAGCATGGTTAATTTGGGCCAAACTAATCTTGGCTTCATAATCGGTTCCTAAATTAGGAGATCACTGAATTGGGAGTTGCAGGAATTAAGTTCTGATTCTAGCTCTGTGACTTTGAGACTCTGAGCAAATTTCTTCTTCTGGGAAATGAGGAATGTGCATGAAAGTGTCTCCCTTGCCTTGTGTTTGTTTGTTTGTTTTCATGTTTTATGATTCTAACTTATGTAATCAGTTTTGCAGTCAGTCACAAGTATTCGTCTCTAAATGCATAGATGTATGAGTATAAGGACTTTCCTTGGCTGTACTCACCTTAGTGGGTCCTCACTGATGGGGAAGGCCATTAAAACTCAGTAATTTTTCAGTGTGTAACACCTATGGGAAGATCCTCAAATCAAACTACAGAGAGGCTGGGGATCCCGTCCACCTCCCAGACCACAGGAAGCCCTTGAAAGGAGTTGTGGGTAGGCGTGGTATGGAATATCCCAGAATAAGACCGCCATTCCCCCTCATCCCTGTCCCCTGGCTGCTGTAGTAGAAAGAGAAGCAGAAGATAGGCCTTGAAAGAGAGAAGGGGGGAGGGAATGAGATTTAGATTTTGATCAAATTAAAGTTTTAAACTAGTCTGACCAAATTTTCAAAGACTGAATGCCTGGCAAGCTACAGGAAGCCCTTAAGGGACAGAAAGGGGATTTGAGAGAGCTTAGTTGAGTCTAGCAGTTGGATTTAAAAAATAAAACTATAGTTAATACTCACTGAGAAAGGTAAATAAAAAAGGTAGGGATGTGTGCATGTATATATGTAATGTCTATGTTAAAAAATATGTATATATTACACACCCCCACATATTCTCATATTTACATAAAGTTTCAGCCATAAATTTGTTCTAATTTTGACGACTATCTTCAAACACTACAAACATGTTTTGTACTTGACTTTGTAATATATAGGAGTCTAGCCAGTATTGTGTGGGTCCCCATCAGATTTATTGTTTAATGCCTTAATTATGGTGTTCTTTGCTTTGGTTTGAATGTTCTGTTTTGTAATACAATCAAAGCAGCATAAATTCCGTCATCAGTGCTCCCGAGGTTTTCATGCTGCATTGTTAATTCAGTGGCTCCCCCAAGCACCAGCTTTCAAGTCTATGCAGTTGTCTTTGGAAGATAGGCTCAGGTCCCCCCAGCATATAGGCTCATATTGAACCCAGCATAATAGGCCAATATTTGCACATATGACAAATGACTAATATCCTTAATAGTATAAAGAGTTGTTGCCTTTCAGTTAGAAAAAAGATGAATACACTGTTAGAAAAATGGGAAAATGGAGTAGGACCTAAAGGGACAAGTAGGGTGTTGTTCACAGACCTTGTAGGGTGTGGTTCACCCTCAACTCTTCATAAAGCAGTCTTCTTCTCTTTTATATGCCTGATACCTCATGACTGTTTACGTTTTGTTTTTCAGGACAGTTTCTCTACAGAAGACTTTTCCAACTGTCTCCACCAGGATCTTCGAATTTCCCTCAATCCTGTCCATAAGTGTTCGTTTTATAAAAATAATGCTGAACTGAGTTACGGGTTCCTCTACCCACCACGTAAGTTTCTTCCTCCCTGACCTGCCCTTTCCCTGGTCTTCTTTCTCTCTTCCTTCTCCTTTTCTTTCTTTTGGGGCAATGGACACCATCTTTTTATTGTTGATCATCATGAATGAGAAGTATAACTCTTAGGGGAAAATTTCTAAAGCATCTAAAACTTGAATTTTACAAAACCTTTAGCTTTTGTTTGGAGGGTAGTTGATTTAGTGCAGACACTGTAGATAGGACATTCTTCATTTTTTCTACACAGAATTTGAGAAAACTTGAGTCAGAAGGATACAGCAGGGGTCTTAGGAGGGAGATATCATTTTGTTTGTTAAAAAGAAAAATAATTTGTCAAAGAATTAGGAATAGGCAGAGCCCAAGTGTGCTTGCCCTTTACGGGGACAGAGCCACTAGGGAAGATTTTTCTCTCCCTCTCTTTTTTTTTTTTTTTTTTTTTTTTTTATTTGAGGTAAAGTGTTCTCTTTTTAATGTGGCAAATTTGTATGTTAATGAGAAGACATTTTGAGGCTGGCCTTAAAAGGCAAAAATCAGAAGTCTCCAGGTGCTTAAGTACTCTCAGTATCCAGTCCAGTCCCCAGAATAAGTGTCTGAAGTCAGAACTTGGCTATTGCTTTATGAAAATAGAGCAGATCCAAGCTGAAAATCCATACAAAGAAGCCTTGTACAGCATTTCGAGGCAGACGTCCTGTGATGTTTTTTTAGGGCAGTAGGTGTTGTTCTGAAGCCAGATATCCTCTTTTTTCCTTTCACTGTAAAAGAGTTGAAGGAAAGAAGATTGTCCACACAATACATCATAGTTGAAATAAGGCAAATAAGGTAAAAATTGAACACGTTTATTTTGGGGCTCTTATTAAGCTTTTGTTTCTTTGCTAAATTCATCTTGAGGAAGAAAATACTTATTTTCCTTTTTTTTAAGGGACTTGACCAAGCACATTGCCCTTTCCCTTGACCCAGTACCTGGGAAACTTTTATGGGTTTAAGGTGATAGCTAATTTTTAAAAATGCTACTCCCATGAAAAAGTATAATGTCTAATGCTACTCATGAAGAATGAAATAGTTGTCTTTTTTATTTTTATTTTTTTGTAGAACTAAATAAAGGTTCAAGTCAACTATATTCTGAAGCATTGCTTAATACTAACATAGTGCCAATGTACCAGAGTTTTCAAGGTAAAAAATTTTAACCCTATATTTCATAATCTCAATGAATTTCTGTGTATTATAGGTATAATTTATATTAATAAGGTTGACCCTCTAAATTAAATGACTATCTGATACATTCTTATTGGTTTAACTTGGACAACACCAATACACAAAAATTCTACAACTATTAGAATCATGATATATTCCAATACCATTTATTCTACTCTGTATTTAAATCTCTATAAATGACATTTTTTGGTGGAAAAAGTATGTAGTCTTCTTGGAAAGTTATCCGGTTAATATAATCTACAACATTTACATAAACTTTCAGTATGTTTCCTTATTTAACTTTTGCAAGTTCTTGATAATTGCTTTTGATCTTAAAATGTATGGATTTTACATCACTATTAATTATCGCAGCATTTGGCTCTTACAAGGATAAATATAAATTTATACTTCAAGTGGCATATAGGATTTCACAATATAGAGCATACAGGAGATTTTTACTCCAATTTACATGTAGAGTACTTGTGACTATTTCAAAAGGAATGTTCAGATATTAACAATAAATCTGAATAACCTGCCTCGTTTACTGATGTTCATGGTTTTTTATGCTTTGTGGTGGTCTGTGATCACAAATTCATGGTGATGCACATGATCAGTCATGTCCAAAATAGTCTTGAATTCAACATTTGTTTATTAGTTCTGCCAAAGGCCAAAGTTGAGCAATGGATTTTTGGCCTCACATTAACACTGAAGCCAAATTTGACTTTGTCTCTGATTACTACAGATGCTGATTTCAAATGAGGTTGTTGAGTTTTTGTAACACGACAGCATGGCACCTTATTCTTTTGAAACTGCACTGACTTCCTTCTTGTTTCAGTTATATGGCACTATTTTCATGGCACCCTACTGCACAGGTATGCAGAAGAAAGAAATGGTGTCAATGTTGTCAGTGGCCCTGTGTTTGACTCTGATTATGATGGATGCTATGATTCCTCAGAGACCCTGAAGCAGTAAGACATATTTCATTTCCTCTTAAAAACAGCTGTCAAGTGGGATTACCATCCAGTTGAGTCACCAGAGCCTTTTCTGTCTGATAGTATTCATACTGATGTACGTGACATTTCCGATTACACTGAGAGCCCCTTGAAATACCTGATTAATTTTGATGTTTTGCTCAGTGTTCAGTAAAATGTTTTTTGGAGGAAAGAAGGAGTGTTTCTCTCCCACGCAGCTTAGATAAGCAATTCTTGAGCTCAGATTAAGCACTGAACTCACTGTATGTTAAGAAGGTAACATCCATGTTTAAAATCTCTATGTGTGACTGATTGTTAAAATACTGTCTTAATTAACATACTGCTGGCTAGAAGATGAACACGTGCTGTGGCTAGAGGCATCCTGAAAGAACCAACAGGGTTATAAATCTATAGTGTCCAAGCTTAGGCCTTGAGTGAATGTCACAGCTTTTACCCAACTTTGGTTAGAGGGAGATGGAGTGACCATCTTGAAAAAAAAAAAAAAAAAAAAAAAACCAACAGTGGTTTTTTATAAAGGAGAGGAGAACATTTTATTTTTTTATTTTTTTAAATTTTTTTTAATTCACATCCAAATTAGTTAGCATATAGTACAACAATGATTTCAGGAGTAGATTCCTTAGCGCCCCGTAAGCATTTAGCCCATCCCCCCTCCCACAATCCCTCCAGGAACCCTCTGTTTATTCTGCATATTTAAGAGTCTCTTCTGTTTTGTCCCCCTCCCTGTTTTGATATTATTTTTGTTTCCCTTCCCTTATGTTCATCTGTTTTGTCTCTTAAAGTCCTCATATGAGGGAAGTCATATGATTTTTGTCTTTCTCCGACTAATTTCACTTAGCATAATACCCTCCAGTTCCATCCACGTAGTTGCAAATGGTGAGATTTCATTCTTTTTGATTGCCGAGTAATATTCCATTGTGTGTGTGTGTGTGTGTGTGTGTGTGTGTGTGTGTGTGTGTGTGTATACCACATCTTCTTTATCCATTCATCCATCGATGGACATTTGGGCTCTTTCTATACTTTGGCTATTGTTGATAGTGCTGCTATAAACATGGGGTTGCATGTGTCCCTTCGAAACAGCACACCTGGATCCCTCCATTTGATCTTTCTTAAAAAAATAACATGAGTTTTGGAAGCAATTTTGCTATTAAGGCTCCAGGATAAAGAAATTGAAACATCTGCTGAGATTCACCTCTTCCCTGAGCACCGTTCTTCCAGGCAGGCTCGGAAATTACTCTTCACACACATATATCTGTAGCACATTAGTTTGTAAAATGACAGGGTTTTTTTTGTTTGTTTGTTTGTTTGTTTGTTTTAAACTATATCCCTTGAGGAATAAGGGTCCTAACATAACTGCCTCAGAGGTCACAGCAGTAGAATGGGTAAAGAAGGGAACTTTATACATTTTGGATTCTACCAGAGCTCTCTGTTTTAATCCATCTTCTATATTATGGCTCCACAGAAGATTAAAATTGAAAACAATGCTCCCACTACCTTAAATTTTGAAAGATGCTGGAAAACAAACAAACCTAGCTTTGAGCCCCAAGGAAATAGAATTACGATGAGGTAAAGGTGTTACTTGGGACCTCTTGGAGAATATACTACAATTTAAAAGAAGTTATTGGGATGGGAAAGGAAATGCCTTTAAAACAAAGAAGAGTCACAGTTTACATCAAAATGTAAAAACATATGACTTCTCTGGAGGGGATGGAACAGAAAAAAATCCCAAACTAGTTTCCTCTCTGTCTACTATCTGTGCAGTTGCATAGGGTTGAAAATACTTATCAATAATGCTTTAGAATTTTGGCTGTAGGTATTCGAGAATGATACATATTTTTTTTCTTTAGCATCTCCATTCCAATGTGTTAAGGTAGAAGCAAAAAAAGAAATCCGAAGTTCAATAAATTCTTATAGAAAACAAAAAGTATTTAGTCTATGTTTGTCTGAGTGTCTTCTAATTCATTGTCTCAATCTGGCAGGATATGTTGAGGTATCACAATGACTAACTTCATACTAACATTTAATTATTTGCATTGTATTTTTAGATGCTTTGCATTAAAATTATACTTTCCTGAAGTATTCATTAAAAAGAAGATAGTTATTTCTTTCTTAAAGTGAATATTGCCTTATCTTACAGAAACAGCAGACGCATCCGTAATCGAGAAATTCTGATCCCGACTCACTTCTTCATTGTGCTCACAAGTTGTAAAAACACATCCCAGACTCCCTCACAGTGTGGAGATTTAGACACCTTAGCTTTCATTTTGCCTCACAGGACTGACAACAGTGAGAGCTGTGTGGTAAGTAGCCTTTGTTAGCTTACCTGACGCGTTGAAAATACGGATACAAGTATATTGGTGTATTGTATCTAACATTACTCTGGGCAAAAACGGAACTTGAATATGCATGTACTTTGAAAGGATGCACTTCACATGAACTTTGCAGGACGGTTTTAAATCTGATACTCTGAGATGACCTATCTCTGGAGAAGACCACCCTTGTCTGTTAAAAACACAAACCAGGGGTGCCTGTGTGGCTCAGTCAGTTGGGCGTCTGACTTTGGCTCAGGTCATGATCTCATGGTTTGTGAGCTCGAGCCCCACGTTGGGCTCTCTGTTAGCTCAGAGCCTGCTCGGGAACCTCTGCCCCCTCTGTCTTTGCCCTCCCCCCCCCCCCGCCCCCGCCCCATGCTCACGTGTGCATGTGCTGTGTGTCTCTCTCAAAAAAAATTTTTTTTTTTAAAACACAATAAAACAGATCAAAATGTAAAAACATACGAATGCCTTCATATGGCATAGCCACTAAATTCTAGGTTTATTTGAGCTATGAATTTATTCTTGTTCCCAAACTGGATTTATAATTCCCAGAGTGTTAACATTGTTATAAATTAGTCTTAAAGTTATAGTTCTGTAGTATTTCAGATTAATTTTCTGTATACGACTTTATTATAAAATTCATGTTTGTCTTTAATTATCTTTTCTTATTCTATGGTCATTCAGCATTTAGAAATAATTGTTTTATGTTACCTTATTTGCTCAGAATTTAAAATACCTAAACTCGTCTTTGAACATCAAGACTCCATTAAAATTTTAGGAATTTTAAAGTTTTTCCTTATGGTAAGCCAAAATTTTTTTTTTTTTCAGAGTACTTCCCAGATTTCCCAGTAGATTTTTTTTTCACTTTTTTTTTTTTTTGTCCATTGAACTTACACACTCTAAGTTTAGATCTAAGTTGGCAACAAGATGTGGCTTTCTTACCAGCCTCATTTGAATGGGTGGTGGATATCTGGAGTCCTGTGGTCAAAAGGATGAGTCTGAGCTCAGCAGGAGAGAGTGCTATGATTGCTTATTCATTCCTCCCTTTATTTATTCATGTATCCCTTCTTGGATCCAGCCGTTCTTTTCTTTAATAACTACGTGTTGCCAGGGACTCTTAGTACAGAGAACACAGCAGTGAACAAAACAGATTGTGGTTTCTCCTGTGGGCCCAGGAGTGGAAAATAGGGATGTATTGCCCTCCTTGATCTAGGAGTCTATGTATCATTCATTAAGAATTAATGAAGATATTTCACTCTTTAATTGTTTCTCTGATAAACTTTGAGGTTGATCAGTTCTCATAGAAGATATTTCTCATTAAGTTATTTTTCCTTATTCTTCAGAATGAAGTACAGAAGAGCAGGATTTTACCTTTTTTACCTGTGCCCAACAGGCATCTAAGTGTGCTAACTGTTCAATGTTCAACACTGTATGAGTATTCCCTTGTTCATTGATTTCTTTTTTCCCAAGAGATTAAATGATCACTAAAGGGGGCGCCTGGGTGGCGCAGTCGGTTAAGCCTCCGACTTCAGCCAGGTCACGATCTCGCGGTCCGTGAGTTCGAGCCCCGCGTCGGGCTCTGGGCTGATGGCTCAGAGCCTGGAGCCTGTTTCCGATTCTGTGTCTCCCTCTCTCTCCGCCCCTCGCCCGTTCATGCTCTGTCTCTCTCTGTCCCAAAAATAAATAAACGTTGGAAAAAAAAAATTAAAAAAAAAAAATAATAAATAAATGATCACTAAAGGTATCAGTTAGTGTTCTGCAGAAAATAAGAGGACCATGTACAGTGACTTGAGCAAGTCCTCGTGTAATGGGCCATCCAGAGGTAGACAGTCTTGGGTCAGCAGCACCATTAGGGACCCAGACCTTTCCTGTGTTCCTTTGCTGCTATTATTAGCATGTAGCATATGTGGGCTGAAGATGGTTTCTACTTCTCTAGATATCATGTCTGAATTCTGGGCCCTTTCCCCCCAAAAGACGGCAGCAACAGACTTACACTTACATTTCATGACCAAAATAATGTCAGGTGTCATGAGTTAGGCACCGAGTTCCTTTCCTATCTCTATCATTCCAAAAGCTCTTGTACAAATATTTTATCAAATTCTATAATAGCAATGTGCCTTGAAGACACTAACTATTGGACTTGAACCAGAGAGAGGATTATTTGAAGGTATATCACCCATACTTACCGATTCCTTCTGTTTCGTCTCTGAAGTAGTGACTAAGGATCAACAGGATATTGGCCTGAGAAAACAGATGTCTTACATGTACTTTGCATCTATTCCTGGGTATGTTGGGACAGATGAAAAATATCTACTGGCCAAGTAATGCACTGAGTCAGGGCTATTCTGATTGCTGCAGAGAAAAACTGAGTGGGGCAGCAATTAGTACTGGGTATAGTGATGATTGGAGGCTAATGGGAAAATGGACACTATTGATCCATTCCCTTTTTATGTGAAAAGTCTATATTTATCCTTTCCAACTAATAATGTCCCAAGGGTACAGGGATCTTCATTGAAGGATGTCTTTAAAGTACGATCATAGGGGCTCAGTCAGCTAAGTGTCTTAATCTTGATTTCCGTTCAGGTCATGATGTCATGGTTAACGAGTTCGAGCCCCACATCAGGCTCTGTGCTGACAGCACGGAGCTTGCTTGGGATCCTCCGTCTTCCCTGCTCCCTGCCTCTCCCTCACTCTCTGTCCCTCTCTCAAAAAATAAATAACGTTAAAAAAAAAATAAAGTACAATTATAGACCACCAATCAGTGGATACTTTCTTCACCTGACCCTCTCCAGGAGCCAGATGCAGAAAAATGGTACTTATGCATGAATGTATGATTTCTATCTCTGTTACCTGCCTCAGCTACCACTTCTGCTTCCAATGTGCCAGAGCACATGCCTTTACTTCTTGTCTGATCTCATGTTAGCTGAGACTTCGCTACCAAACCAGATGAAATTGTGTTTCACCACTTCCCCCAACGCTCTCTTCATTGTAACTGTGTAGATAACGGATTCTGATAAGAGCTGGTGTTTTTATAGTGTGCACACATCATTACATTTGATCCTCAAAAACAACCTTATAAGGAGGGTGCAGGTAAGAGAGTCAGGATTCAGATGTTAACCAACTTGCCTCAGTTTACGTGGTATGAAAATGATGGAACCAGGACTTGAACCCAACTTTCTTTCTACTAATTCCCACATTCTTTCGGCCATGCCACATTGCTTCTGTTTTCCAGCATTTTTTTTAACCTCACACTGATCCAGTCTCTTGCACCAATGCAATATATGAGCATCTATTCCAGGTGTACTTTCCTTTCCCCAGATTTGAGACATCTGATTAAACAAACGTGCATAGTATATGTTAGATAGTGAGCTACTCAAGAGCAGGGATTGTACCTAACAAATCTTGTGGCCTCTGCCACCTGGGAGCCAAAGTGCCATAGCTGATTGAAATGGGAAGACAAAGTGCTTGTAGAGAAAGTGAGCGGACTGTTCTCCAGTGACTGTTTGTTTTACATTTCCCACCTTCATAGCATGGGAAGCAGGACTCCTCGTGGGTTGAAGAGTTACTGAAGTTACACAGAGCTCGGATCGCAGATGTCGAACACATCACTGGACTCAGCTTCTATCAAGAGAGAAAAGAGCCAATCTCAGACATTTTAAAGTTGAAAACACAGTTGCCAACTTTTAACGAAGAAGACTGATATTTTTTATTCCAAAAAACACATCATAAATGTTTTTGAAAGAACCTTCTATTTTATACAGCCCTCTGTTCACGCTGTCGCGTTGTTTGGAAACTGTCGACCAGAGTTAGAGCTGAGAATCCTCTGTGATACGACCGTCTCAGGGAACCCTGTGGCCTCGGCCTGGCAGTAGGAAAATGTTCTTCTTGAGTCTCGCACATGTTTGAATGTGTCAGAATCGTTCCGATTTGGGAAATAAAGACAGACCATACCTAAAACTGCTCTTCTATATTCTCTTAAGGGCAGAAGTAGCTGTGAACGTTGTCTGGACACCAGACATTTGAATCTTCCTTTCGTTAATAAACTTCTGTGGAACTGGCAAATGGGGCGCTAATGGATAGGATTGGAATAATCCGTGTTACAGCATTAGTATTTTCGTAAGAATTTAAAAGTGATTCCGGATTCTTTTTAACTTGGAGTTTTATTCATCTGAGTTTTAACCAAAAAATCCAGTGGAAGTAAAAATATCTCTGAGGCCCTCTTTCTGTCTTTTCTGTATACCCTTTCAAAAGCCAAACTATGCAGTCCTGTGGGTTTTTGTTTTTAATTGTGATTTAGCAATTTCAGATTTAATGTCTTTAGCAAGTTAAACTTTGAGGCAACATCTGTGAATTATCTAGCATATCTACCTGCTATAAAATTTTACCCTACATTTGCATTAAAAAAAGAAAGATATTCCCATCCTGCTCACTGGTAATTAACATAGGTTGAAAATAGCTCTAAAGGAGTTGTTTTAGACTGTTAAAAATGTCTTGATGAAACTTCAGAGAGCTTGTCAATACATGCAAGGTGACATTTTTCATCAAGGTGGCAGGAACATTTTCCTCTGTGCATAAAAATGACCCCACCAGTAGCAGAATCATGCTGAATTGTTCATTTTGAAGTTCCATAGATTTGAAGAGAATGTGTAGCCATTGCTTTATATCTTCTTGGTGGTCATGATAAATGAACTTGATCCACTATATAGACTATACCTGTTAGTCCCGGCCTGTGGACCTCCAAAGGTTACTTTCATTTTTGGCTACGTGGGTTTGATTTAGGTGTTACATTAGTACACCACAATTTTTATTTGTCGTTCATATGATGATCATTCTTCAACAGACTGTGGACCACAAAATCCTTTAGATAATACAATTTATATCTAAAAATTATTTAATAATTTGGAAGATGTCATTGGTTTTTGTATTAGTCCCATTGGCCTGGAGCGTTTGTACATTGTATTGTTTTGTTTTGTTTTGTTTTGTTTTTCTTCCAGTCTGTCTTCTCTCTGTTGTTCCGTTTGGGTCATTTCTATTGTTCTAAGTTCACTGATTATTTTCTCTCTCTAATCCATTTTGTTGTTGAGCCCATCCATTGATATTTGTATTTCAGTTACTGTTTTTGTTTTTGTTTCTAAAATTTCCATTTGGTTCTTCTTCATATCTTTTATTTCTTTGCTGAGAATTTGTATTTTTATTTTGGCTGAGACTTTGTATTTTCTCACTTATTCCATGCATATTCATAATATTCACTGAAGCATTTCTGTGATGGCTGCTGTAAAATTCTTTCAAGTAATGCCAGCATCTGCATCATCTCAGAGGTTGGCATCTTTTGTCTTTTTTTCATTGAAAAAGATTTTCCTGGTTCTTGGCATGATGGGTGATTCTTGATGAAAACCTGAATATTTTAGGTATTATGTGGCTAGGGATCTTAGTTAAACCTTCTGTTTTAGCTGACTTTCTCTGGCATCAGCCTAGCGAGGGCACGGGGGCCTAGTGTGGGAATGAAGGACACTGTCTAGTTATTTCCAGGTGTGGCTACGAGTCCAGGTTTTCCATTCAGCTGCCATTGACACTAGGGGCGAGATGGGAACCTTGTCACTGCTGGGCAGGGTGGGAGTGTAGCTCCCCACTGGGTCACCATTGATGCCTCCCTGGCTGGGATGTGTAGGGTGTCTTGTCACTGCTCCCACGTCGTGTCCACTGACACTATTGGCAGGAAAGCTGGGAAGACTTTATTATGATCAGATGGGGGTGAAATGATCAGTTCCCTGCTCAGCCTTCTCAGAAATCACCCTGTCAGGGGAGTGAGGGCACTTCATTACAGCCTGCCAAGAGTGGAAGTCTAGGCTCCCCGCGTGGCCTTTGCTGGTGTGGGTGGGGCCGTGGCATTTTCCGTGGGGTTTGCTGGAGTGGTGCGATTACTGTTCTCTCTCTTGCTAGGCTGCTTGTCTTCTAGTCCTTTGGCTAGAAAGCAGGACTTTCTTAGGACTTCTTTTTGGCTGCTCTGTTGGCATTTAAGGTTGGGAACTCTTCAGTTCCAAGTCTGGGACATTTGAGCTAAAAGAGCAAACTCAGGAGAACTTATCACAGTTTTGTTCCTTGGGTTCCAAGATCCCTAGCCTGCCTGCCTTGTCTCCACCTTTCAGAATCTTCCTATTTTCGTTTTATGTATATCTAAGCTTTTTATCTGCACTTAGCAGAAGGATATATACTTCTTTGTAGAAGTGTCTCATTGATTTTTATATATTCTTCAAAATACATGCAGACACATGATTGCCTCTATGTAAAGCAGTCTAGCAGATCTTAATTAAATGGGTAGGTGTCTCTTGCCTTTGCCAGTCACCAGGAATATGAAGAATGACAAGTTATAATCCTTACAGTTTGGGGGTGGGAGAGAAGGCAGCAGAAGTGTATGTGATTCCTAAGGGGGGGGGCGGTAGATTTTTTAATGGAGCCACGGGCAGGGTGCTAGGGAGGACAAAGAACACACTGGGTGGGACTTGACAGGTCTCAGCGGTAACTTCTTAGATGTGGTGGCATTGGGCTAGAACTTGAAGATGAATTGGAGCTCTTCAGGTGAACAGGCAAGGAAAGGACATTCTAACATCCCTTGGATAGATGTGTTTTTGGCATTTTCCCATTTACCACTACTTTTGATATTTTCTACAGGTGTTGCTATGACCAACTTATGATTTACAACTTTTATTTTTCCTACACTGTTGTTATAATCTCCTGTTCTTAAAAGTCAGACTGTAAGTGAATGCTATGCTGACTCTTTAAAGGGCATCCACATCTGTTCCTATTAGTTTTTTTTTTTTTCAGTTGCTCTTATGCAGTATTCTTATTCTTATCTTGAAAGAGATCTCTCCTCTTACTATTTCATCAGTTGAAAACATGTGAGTGGCCTACTTCCCCAGTTTGAATGGTAAATTCACATGACTATATTTGAAAATGTCTGTACCCGGGGCGCCTGGGTGGCGCAGTCGGTTAAGCGTCCGACTTCAGCCAGGTCACGATCTCGCGGTCCGTGAGTTCGAGCCCCGCGTCAGGCTCTGGGCTGATGGCTCAGAGCCTGGAGCCTGTTTCCGATTCTGTGTCTCCCTCTCTCTCTGCCCCTCCCCCATTCATGCTCTGTCTCTCTCTGTCCCAAAAATAAATAAATGTTGAAAAAAAAATTTTTTAAAAAAAAGAAAATGTCTGTACCCTACTGTGTACAATAAAGGCTATTCTTGGCTTTTCATATGCAAAGCAAAACCTTTACTTATCCCTAACTTTATTGCCCTGCCTCTGATCAGTACTTCCTTAATGAGGTAAATAACTTCCATATAAGATTTCATAGCTAAGTCAGCTCATTCATGGCAGAGCAAACAACCAGGTGGAACTTAAAAATATTTCCAAGTTTCAGAGAAAAGAGGGCAAACCTTAGGGGGAAGAAGGCAAATGTTCAGGTCCCAGGAGGGCAGGTCAACGTTAGGCTAGTTGGTCTAGTCCTGTTTTAGACCAGGTTGGAGCTAAGACCACCTACTTCCCCAGGAGAGGCTGTTACCCCCTGACCTTTACTTTTTTCTGTCGTTAGCTACAGTAGCTGTACTGCCTTGACCTGTGGGTACATGCTTATCTATAATAGGAACAGGCATTTGAACTTTGAAACTAAATGTGGTGATTACACTTCATGCTGAAACCTATCACAGGAATTTGGTGTGTGGGTGCTTTCGTAAGCATTAAGTAAAATTTTAACATGGCTACAGTCCAAGGATGTTTTCCTTGTTTTTTGGCAGTCTCAATATTATCAGGGAGAGGGAAAAATCTACAGAATATAAGTCTCTAAACTAAGAAATGTGGATTTACCGGGGCGCCTGGGTGGCGCAGTCGGTTAAGCGTCCGACTTCAGCCAGGTCACGATCTCGCGGTCTGTGAGTTCGAGCCCCGCGTCGGGCTCTGGGCTGATGGCTCAGAGCCTGGAGCCTGTTTCCGATTCTGTGTCTCCCTCTCTCTCTCTGCCCCTCGCCCGTTCATGCTCTGTCTCTCTCTGTCCCAAAAATAAATAAATGTTGAAAAAAAATTTAAAAAAAAATGTGGATTTAGCAATAAAAGTTGTATATACAGAAGCTTGGCTGCTTATGTCTCTGTGTGTGTGTGTGTGTGTGTGTGTGTGTGTGTGTGTTTGGAGGGTGGGGGCAGGGAATGGGTGGTGGTGTTTTCCCAGGGATGATACTGAGTACAGGGGTTGTAGACAATTAACCACAGCTGTATTACTGGAAGGAGAAAAAAGTTCCAAAGTTCATTTCAAATTCACAGAGTAAACATCAGCTTCTGACCTATATTCTTGTTTTTGTATTTTAATTATTTGCAATCATACTTCCAGGTGAAAACAAGACAGGCATGTATAAATTTCTTTCCAGTATATAGAATTGTCTGAAACCAGAGGGAAAGCATCCAAATTGTAACTTCTATAGATTTTTTTCGATGTGAAATTTTTGTACTTATCCTTTCCATTCTACATAAATAACAATTGAAGGAAAAATAAAGATTTTACTAGAAATTATAGCCATGGAAGAAACTAGAGATACGTAAAATGTGTTTTAGTCTTCTATAAATGAAAGAAACTCTGGAAAAGGATTTATCTTCATAAGAAGTCAAAAGGAAACAACAGAAAAGATGCACCTTTCATTCCACCCCAGTGTCATTGTTTTAATGTTTATTCTTGAGAGAGAGTGTGTGAGTGAGGGGCAGAGAGACAAGGAGAGAGAGAGAGAGAGAGAGAGAGAGAGAGAGAGAGAGAGAGAGAAAATCCCAAGCAGGCTCCATGCTGTCACTGCTGAGCCTGACGTGGGGCTCAAATCCATGAACCCATGAGATCATGACCCAACCTGAAATCAAGAGTCAGACATTTAACAGACTCAGCCACCCAGGTGCCCCCACAATGTCATCATTATAAATTTAACTTCATGCTTGCCCATAAATCCTCAACTCAGGGGGCAGGATTTTAATAAAAATAACACATTCACTTTTAAAACTCTTGTAGGATTTCTGGGTGCCTGGGTGGCCCAGTCAGTTAAGCATCTGACTTTGGCTCAGGTCATGATCTGTGGTTCATGGGTTCAGGCTTCATGTCGGGATCTGTGCTCAGAACTCAGAGCCTGGACCCTGCATTGGATTCTGTGTCTCCCTCTCTGCCCCTCCCATGCTCGCATTCTCTCTCTCTCTCAAAAATAAACATTAAAAAAAAAAAAAACAAAAAATAAAGGTAATAAGTCTTTAAAAAAAAACTCTTGTAGGATTTCATTACATATCAAATTCAGATCTCATAATTAGTATACACTTCAGCCTTCACAGAATTGAGATACAAAGCAATATAATAAATATCCAGGAAATGAGGTTTTTCTATCTCTTGATAAT